GAATTCTAGCACCAGATTTGGCGAAATCGAGCACCAGATTTGACGAATTCGAGCACCAGATTTGACGAATTTGAGCACCAGATTCGACGAATTTGAGCACCAGATTCGACGAATTCGAGCACCAGATTTGACGAATTCGAGCACCAGCCAGTAAGTGATTTTTGAGTTTGAGTTGGATTGTGTCTCCGCCCTGGGCAGAATTTCCAGAAAATCAGCAGGTTTTGCGAAATCGAGCACCAGATTTGAAGAATTCTAGCACCAGATTTGACGAAATCGAGCACCAGACTTGGCGAAATCGAGCACCGGATTTGACGAATTCTAGCACCAGATTTGACGAAATCGAGAATCAGAGCCACCAGCCCAGGGACCAGCCCCACATTTCAAAATGAAAGCAGAGCCACCAGCCCAGGCCAGCCAGGGACCAGCCCCACATTTCCAAATGAAAGCAGGGCCACCAGCCCAAACCAGCCGGGACCAGCCCCACATTTCAAAATGAAAGCAGGAGAGTCTTTGCAGTGCATGGGAGATTTGATTCGACCCAGACCTTTTTTTTCAATTTTCCTGGTGCTGCTTTTGTGCTCATCGATTGCGCTCACCGTTAGTGGGACTCAGCCACTTCGAAGCGATAGTCTTCCCTTTCATGTCCAACGACCACCCACCTTCAAACAAGTAGTGTTCGCGCACTTATTTTCTGGACATCGACGTTCAGGAGACGTCCAAACATGGCTTGAACAGGCAGGGGCAGTTGCACTGTCGATTGATGTAATTTTTGATCTTGAAATGGGCGATCTTAGTCGCCCGGAGACTTTCGCCTTTTTTGCTTCCGCACTGAGAAGTAACATTCTCAAGGGTATCATTGCAGGTCCACCTTGCGAGACTTGGAGCCGAGCAAGGGGAACTGTACTGCCTGACGGCAAGCTGGGCCCGAGGAAAGTACGATCGCAACAAAGGCCGTCTGGTCTTCTGAACTTGACCAAAGCAGAAGACCGACAAGTTCGGTTCGGAACGCGGCTCCTTGGAATTGCTATCGGATTGATGGTGATTGCATTGATCACTGGTGCGTCAGGAATTCTAGAGCACTCAGCAGAGGAGGCAGACGACGTATGGCAGGTTTCGATCTGGCGAACTCTCATTGTCCGTTTCCTCTTGAGGATGCAAGGATGCCGAAAAGTCCGAGTATGCCAAAGCCATTTTGGCTCGCCTGCGGTGAAGCCGACCGATTTGCTCCTTTTCAATGTGACGTCATGTGCAGAAGAGACGTTATTGAAGGGGAGAAAATACCCCCTTCCAAAGAAGGCTGCGATAGGAAAGCTGGAGGATGGGTCCTGGGCTACCACTCGCCTAAAGGAGTACCCAGAGCATTTTTGCCACTTGCTGTCCCAGCTTCTCCTCGACAGCCAGCCTGCTCCCTTCAAGGCGGCGTCAATCCCCGAAGACTTTCTTAGGGCTTGCTCTGAGTTAACTCAGGGGTTCGACGATAAAGCTGCCATGGGAGCAGACTACTGCGGAAAGGAGGTTTGCACATTAATTCATAATTGAATGCATGCTGCGGCCACGAACAACGTTTTCGGCAAGCGCAAGAGCAAAAAAAGAGTCCCACTTGCTGCTTGCCTTTTTGCCTTCTGCAAAATTCTTGCCCAGAAGCTGGCAAAATCATGAGCAGGTTGCAGTTGTCCAAAGGGCAGGCAGCGCCAAATCCACTGAATGGGTGCCCTCTATCTGATGGGAAGGGAACCAGGTGAGAAGAAGGCAAAAGCAAGGAAAGCAACCACATTCACATCTGAGGATCCTGCACTCCGTGCAAGGAGGGTTCAGAGTTGTGCAAAGTGGTTGCACGATTGGTTTGACATGGTTTGACTTATTTTCGGAAGTGTTCACAAGCTCCAGTCTCCCGGCATGCCTCTGTAAAGAGACAGGTCAAACACAATGACTTTAGCTCTGAATAGGATCCTTATAGACTAGCTGACTAGCTGTTCAGCCGTAGGAATCGTTAAAATGCTTACTTTAGTTCGGCCTCCAAGAAATTATTCCTGCAAAGAAAGTAACTACGTACGTGCATTGACGTTCCGTAAATGAATGCAAACATCTGAAAACAGATTCACCTACATGTCTATACATTAATTAAAGAAAACGTGCGCAAAATAAGATTGATATTTTACAAAGACATGACACATGACACATGACACAGAAACAATAGGAATGGGAAGAAACCAACGAACATGCTGATGGACAGCATCAGAAGTTTGGACACAACACTGACAACTGACAATGTTGTGGATTTGTTCCACACAGAGTCACAAAAGCCGGAACTGCAAGCCACAGGAAGGCTGCAGCAAAACACTGCGGACCCTAAGCCCACAAACACAGAAACAACGGCAAAGAATGAGGCATCCCGGCGCGAACTTTGTTTTTCCAGCCTGTTCATCCTGAGTTTGTTCTCTCAACTGCTTACCGACCTTGTCCCTCAGCAATCGCCTGTTGTTTCACAGCTGCAGTACAGGATTTGTCATCGTGCTCTTTTTCCACGGTGCTCGGGACCCTCTGGGCCAGAGTGTGTGTGACGCAACAAGGCACCTCCCCTACGTTCATTTGCTCATTTTGCTGCAGTTCACTTGGAGTTCTGTGTGTTGGCCCAACCGCGTGCAATCTTGAGTGATGTTCTTTCTTTATGTTTGATGCCTTAATTATTCCCAAAAGCACCTGTGAAGGGATAAAGGGTTCTCCGTCAAGAACGGCGGCTACCAACTTCAACTGTCCAAGCATCCACTGTCTAACCTTCATCATCTTCTTCATCATCACCATAAAAATCATCACCCTCACAAGCATCAGCACACTATCACCTTCAGCAGCAGCAGCAGCAGCAGCATTAGCTCACTCACATTTGAGCACCCGACACGCGCGGTGTCCGCAAAAGGTTCACCACGCTCACCGCTCACTACAAATTCGTACTTCACCTAAGTTTGAGCACTTGACACGCAGGATCTCCTTCGATCTCCTTATAGGGTTCACCGCGGACAAAAGCGATTCCCAAATACCACAGTTTCGCGCATCCGACACACACGATCTCCGCTAAGGGTCGCCCTTGGTGAACATGCCAAGATTAGAAAGGTCAAAGTTGCAGTTGTGTAGGTGGCCTGCATCTTTAACCGAACACCTGTATCTATGCACGTGCGTTACAAGGTAAAGCAGCACCCCTGCACCTGAAAATGATGATGATGGTGATGATGATGATGATGGCAAATTGATGTAAGTGTGTTGTACGAGCTGCACCACCTACATCTCAACAACTGTGTGATGATGATGATGAGGAGGAGGAGGAGGAGGTGATGACGATGGTGCTGATGACATGATGATGTCGTGGATGATTGTGAACATAGACATGAGGCAAAAAGCAACATTTGTTAATTGTAAACCCTAAGTTTGCGGAGATTGGGCACTATTGCGCACGCAAATTTTGAGTATGCGCGGTGAACCCTCTGCGGAGATTGTCCGTGTGGAGCGTCAAGACGTGCATCTGTCGTCCAAATCAGGTGGAAAATCCCAAAGTGTGCAGTGTAGCTGTTGTCACAAATGAAGGTGGAAGTGGTCAAAATGTGCCTGTCGCCGACTCTGGCCTCAGAACTGGCAACTTTGTAGCACACAGGGAAGCAGCTTCTGGGAGCTTGGGCTGGAGGCTGGGAAGTTTGTAGGGGTTGAGAGCTGGCAACTTTGGCAGCTCCTGGGAGCTGTGGCCTACAAATGCAGTACGAGAAGCAGCTTCTGGGGCACAGGTGTATCTTTAGATCACCACATCCACTTTATCTTGGCATTACATGGCATTACCATGCATTGCCACAAATTTGATCATCATCATCAGCATCATCATCATCATCATCATCATCATCATAGGCCTAGATCCGAGAAGACAAGAAACAAACGCAGCTGTGATGCCACATCATACCCTAACTCTCCAAAGTTCTACGTTGGTCAGTAATCAGAATGTAAGCAAACATTTTGCGCGTCAACGTCGTGCTCCAAGTGCCAAACAACATGCTGAGATGACATGCAAACTCAAAGAAGAAAGCACATGGAAACAAATTGCAGATATCTTTCATTCTTAAGAAGTGCGTGACACGGTGCATCACGCTTCTCCCTGCAAATTGGGACCTGTCTTGGGTGGTCCCTCCAGCTGAATTTGGGAAGGTTTAGGGAGTAATCAAATCTGCTATCTGCTCAGGTTCAGGCGCCACTGGGTCGGATTCCTCTGCGGGATGCTTCCAGCAACGGGACGCCAAAAGTTGCACAACGTGTGACCACGGCAAAGCGATGAGCAGTGGATGATCCCTGGCCCGCCTTCCCTGATTCGGTCGGGGAGGGCGATGAGAAGTCGGTGCCACTGCCGCATGTAGACTGGGCCAACCGTTCGCCCGTTCGCTGACTGATACCATCAAAGAACCAAAAATTGCTTATTTCTCTGTAAATAGTTGAATTAGCAAGTTGATTGTTTGAATCTACCGCTGTCAGTGCTTGGAAAGATTTAACACGCATATATCACTTTCGGCATTAGTATTCTAAAGACTTAAATTACACTTATAACTAATGACTGTTGACTAATAGTTTTCGGCAATGGCATCCATGACGAAAAGCATTAGCTTCAAGCCCGGGAACAAGCCGTGACCACGAGACTTGTTCGTCTATCGTCTTGACTTTGTGCCGCTCCAGCTGGAGCTGCAATTCCTTCTTCACCTGGAATGTTCACATTCTTCTCCCGACACCGTGTACTCCCAGCAAAACTCAACTCATTGCATAAATTAACCACTGACACCTTGAAGCATTCTACACCGTTTTACTGCAACACACACACACCAAAAAAAAGAACATGCACGGAGATGAGATTTGCACAACATATGCACCAATTTGCAAAACACAGCCCATACAGAAGAGGTGGCTAAAGCTGCATATCGATGACAAGCTTGAAAGCAGAGTCTACTCAGAAAAATGAGTGCACCTTGTGGTAGTGATTCATGATCAATGCATCGCCTCTGTCTCAGGTGTGAAGCACACTGGTGACCCCTATCTACCATTCATCTTTTCTTGAATCATTTCGCAAGCCTTCAACGGCCATGCAAAGACTGATTGCATAAGCATCCTGAGAGAGATAAACAAGGCAGCTTTAGGTCAAGCCTCCTTGGTCCATCCTGCTTTGGAGCTGAGTGATTTGCTTCTTGATGAGCTGCGTCTCTGTGAGGGCAAGTGCTTCTGGCAATTCCGGCTTCACTTGCATCTGGTAGTCATCATTGTCTGGGTCATACTCTATGGAGATCTGCCTTTCTCTTGGCCGAGAGATCTCAAAGTCCTCAGGCAAACGGTTCTGATGAAGCAATGCTCTGTCCAAAAAGTTTAACAGCTTAACATGCCTACTGCCTATATACAAAGTTTTGGTGAAGGCCTGGCCTCGGAGTCATCGTCTGACAAGAAGCTCATCTCTTCATCAAGAAGCTCCAACTTCCGCAGGCTTCGGCAACAGGTCATGAACATCGTGCAAAAACAGCGCGATCTGCCATGCACCCTTTGAGCCTTTCTAAATGCTTATGAAGAGCATTCCCGACAAACAACATACAGTACTGTCGGGGAGGGAATAACAGAAAAGAATTGCATTATTATTCCCACACCCTGAACAGTTTAGTGGGCGGGAGTTTTCGCGCCCCACCCAGCACATGTTTAAACATATGGTTTGTTTGTTAACTTAGTGTTCTATTGTTCAGTTCAGCTGTTGTATCCCATTAAAGATTCCCTGCTTAGACTCGGTTTGCTTGTTTCCTGGAACTCTGACCTGAAAACCTTCTTTCGAAACCCTTATACTTATACACTAAAAATAATTGAATCAATGTTCCAACAATTTTCCAGGGCTTAATACACAAGCCCAATGGAGGGAGACACGAAAGGTAGGACAGCGGGAAGAGAAGAGAACGCAAGAGGCAGGAACAAAAATGCAATGTTCGACATGGTGATTTATCCCCTCGGAGGCTACCTTTCGTAAATATATGTTCATATGCACTTTAAATGTTCAAACATGTGCTCTCGAAATGTTCAAAAAGATTCTTAGGAAAACAAACTTGCCCCATGGCTCAGATCATCGGTGAGCATTGAATCGGAACATCATAGGATTTGAACTATCCTGAAACCATAAGAGGCTCACGAAGACGCTCCCCAGGAGAGAATTGACGTGCTTCACAAAACAAACTCTAGGTATGTATCCCCTCGGGGAACACCTTTTGTGATTAGAATTTCATATTCACTCTTTCTGAATGTTCAAGAGGGTTTCAACTATCCTGAAATCATGAGAGGCTCACGAAGACGTTCTCCAGGAGAGAATTGATTTTAGAGGGGGGGAG